GAGTGCACAAATTTTTGTGCACCAGACCTCTAGTATTATACATATATAATAGCTGCTGTTACTATTATTGTAAGATTTCTCTGGTCAGACACTAGAGAGGAGCAGCAGGGAGACAGAAGGAGAGCAGGAGCGCCCTCTGGTGAGAAGTCCAGGAGCTGACAGGCCAAATGGCCCCACAGCCCTGCCGCTGCATCAAATAGGCAGGAGACTCTCCAGTAAGGAAGTCAGTGTGTGTGTGTGTGTGTGTGTGGTGGGCAGAGGGGTGGGGCTGTAGGGAGAGGTTGTGATGCTCCCCACCCTCTGAGGCCACACCCCAGAGTGAGCCCTAGCTGGTTTGGCTCAGTGGATAGAGCGTTGGCCTGCAGACTGAAGGGTCCCGGGCTAGATTCTGGTCAAGGGCACATGCCCAGGTTGCAGGCATGATCCCCAGTAGGGAGCCTGCAGGAGGCAGCCAATCAATGGTTCTCTGTCATCATTGATGTTTCTCTCTCTCCCTCCTTCTCCCTTCCAATCTGAAATCAATAAAATATTTTTTAAAAATAAAAAAATTTGTACAGTGACAGCCTAGTGATCACATCACTGGTTATATAAATGTCAAATCTCTATGTTGTATACCTGAGGCTAATATAACATTGTATGCCAACTATACTCTAATAAAAATTTAAATTAAAAAATTCCGGGCTGGGTCGAGAATGGGAAATGTCCTGGCCCTCACACCTGCGCCCTCACACCTGGTGTCTGGGCAGGGGGCGGGGCCAGGGCAGGGGCCATTGGCTCCTTTTTCAGCCAGAACCTTCATCTTTTTCAAACACCCTTGTCCATCTGGGGCACTTGGAGAACAGGAACCACCCCACTGCCATGGACAAGTTTAAAGTTCTACAGAGAAGTCTTTTGTGAAGCAAGACCCAGAAAGCCAGCCCCAGGCAGTGGGCACAGGCCCCCTGCCAGCTCTCCACAGGCCAGAAAGTGAGTGATCCTTTTCATCAAACACCCTGTCAGCCAGTGAGAATTGGGGCTTTCCCCCACAGACCTGCGCTTGTCCCCCCTGCCTTGGCCCATCACTGCCTTCAGTACCCCTCCCTCAGCACCAGCAGGCCACTGCCCACCCTGCCCGCTGCAGCCTCTCCTGTTGCCTCCCAGAGCAGTGGGCCTGGCTCGGGACTGGTGGCTGACAGCCTGCAACGCTGGGCTTCTAAGGGAGCAGCTCCAGGCAAGAAAAACACATGGGATGGCTGTCCATGGGGGCAGGGGCTTTCAGAGTTCCACACCAGCTCAGGTTCCCACATCAAAGTGAGGGAAAGGTTGAGACAGCTGGGAGCTGACAGCCAGAGGAAAGGACCTGCCTGTAACAGTGATGGGGCTTCATCCAGCCATCCACCCAGCCATCCACCCATCCACCCACCCAGCCATTCACCCACCCAGCCACCCACCCAGCCAGCCATTCACCCACCCACCCAGCCATTCACCCAGCCAGCCAGCCATACCCCCAGCCATTCACCCACCCAGCCAGCCATTCACCCAGCCATCCACCCAGCCATCCACCCATCCACCCACCCAGCCATTCACCCACCCAGCCACCCACCCAGCCATTCACCCATCCACCCACCCAGCCATTCACCCAGCCAGCCAGCCATACCCCCAGCCATTCACCCACCCAGCCAGCCATTCACCCAGCCATCCACCCAGCCATCCACCCAGCCAGCCATACCCCCAGCCAACCAGCCAGCCTCCCACCCAGCCAGCCACCCACCCAGCTGGCCAGCAAGCACATCTATGTTAGGATCTGCCCTGAGCTGGGCACTGTTGTAGGTGCTGGGGATTGAACAGTGAGCAGATAGAATCCCCCGCTCTCATTGGAGAAGGCAGATCATAAACAAAATAAAGACGTGGGCTAATTCTGCCTCAGATGTAAGTGCCGTGGAGAAAGCAGCAGCAGCGCTGGGGACGCGGAGCGTCGCGGGGACTGGGTTTGAGCAGGGAGGCCGAGCAGGGACATTTCCCTAAAACTGAAGGAGGTGAGAGCAAGCCATGTGGGTCTATGAAGGGAGTGTGCCAGGCAGAGGAACAGGAAGTGCACTGCGCAGACTGTGGCCTTTCCTCTGAGGGTGGTGGAAGGTACTGGAGGTTTGAGGCACAGTGAGATGTGATCCGACTTACTTTTTACTGTGTTTTTCTGAATGTTGTACGGAGATTAAATCAGAGGGGAAATAGTGGGCCCAGGGAGACCTGGAAGCACTGTATAGCCCAGGGGAGGTGGTGTAGGCTTGAGCTGGGTAGTGGCGACAGAGGGGTGAGAAGTGGTCAGAGCCTAGAGGTGCCGTGGGGGAGCTGGCAGCTTCGAGCCAGGATCAGATGTGGAGTGGGAGTGGGAGAGAAACCAGGGACTCCCAGGTCGCTGACCTGGCAACCAGGAGGCAGCAGGTGGTGAGGATGTCAAGGTGGGATGAACGCATACACCCCTCAGGCCCGGGGCTTATGGCCATGCCCTGGCTGACTGGACACGCTAGTGTGGCCGGGCATGGCGACGCCTGGATGGACGCTGCTGCCTGCGCAGCGGGGCCGGCGGGCTGTGCATGGGTCAGAGCCTTTGCTGGGAGACCAGGAACTCCTCCCAGCACCGCCTCCTCGGGTCCTGAGCTCCACCTGGACACTGCCTGGCACATGTCGGGCACTCGCTGAACGTGAAATCCTTAGGTTCACTCATGAAACAGTCACAGGACTTATGGTACTTGAGGCCAAAGTAAGACCATTTTCAGAGCATCTCTGTGCCTTGGTGTCTCATCTGTGTAATGAGAAACTAACAGACCCTGTGCCTGAGGATGAGCCTGCGTGTAAGCAAAGCGCTGGCACAGAAGTGCCCAATAAGCATGAACCATTGTGATGACCTGGTGGCCACCCTTTGGCCTTGCTCTGATGGGGTTCCCTCTGGGAAGGGAGGCCCCGTGGAGATGTCTGGATCCCCAGCAGACCTTCTGGTTCCTGGGTAAAGGAAGGCAGGGTGACCACATCGTCAGGAGCCCCAGGTTCGGCCTGCCCGTGGCTGGCGCTGGCAGAATGTAGATATGGTCGTGGGCAATGGGCCTAGAGCCAGTGCTTGCCTGCCTTTAGCAGAAAGCCCTCCCCATTCCTGAGCACCAGTGCGAGTCGGGGGAGGGGTTGGGGGAGGGACTGGGGGAGCGGCCAGAGCAGGGACTGGAGGTTGGCTCCCAGCACAGGAAGCTGGAGTCCCCTCTCTCAGACTATGGTGGCCATGTCTGGGGACATGTCTGCTCATCCCAGCTGGAGTGTCGCTGCCTCTAGTGGGCAGACACTGAAGGTGCTGATAAACCTCCCACAATGCCCGGGCATTACCCCACCCCAGCACACAACTAAGAGTTGCCCAGCAACAGAGCCCATATCGCTGAGGATGGGAAACCATGTTGGAGACCAGGACCCAGCTCACACATGGAACAGTGTTCTGAGAATAACCCTCCTCCCACCCACAGGGCACTTTACAGTGTGCCAGGTGCTCCCAGGGGTGAGGCCTTCCGGTGGGCATCGACCCTTCTAATTCCTCGGGGCTAACCAACAAATCCTCGCCATTGCCATGGCCCACACGGCCTCGGCTCCACTGCTCGTTCTTGTAACCCTGCTCCCCACACTCTGCTCTTCACCACAGCTGCAGCGCCTGGCACCTTCGGCCTATGGGCCTTAGCACTTGCTGATTATGCTGCCAGAAAAGCTCTCCTCCCAGATCACGCCTGGGCTGCTGCCTGCCGGCCCCAGGCCTTGATGAACTGTCCACTTCTTAGGAAGGCCTTCCCTTCTCTCTGCCTCATTGATGGAGCACAGGAGGGGCCGGGGCAAAGCTCACCCAAACGCAGACGCCATCTCCCTGCGCTTGCGCTCTCCTCTGGGGATGGGGAGTGAGGTTACATACACATGGTTTTTTAACATTAACCATATGCGTTCTCGTGTGTAGCAATATATAAACTCCCCTGTCCTCCAGGGCAAGCAGGCAGTCTCACCTCCACCACCCCTGCCCCCAGAAGTGGGCACTCACAAAACAGCACCAGGAGGAAGCGGGTCTGGTTGAGCATCTGGGTCAGACCTGCAGGTGTCAGCACCATCAGGTGGCCTTCCTGTGCGATGTGCAGGGGCTGGGGCAGGATGTCCACGTCCTCCTCGCTGTCCTCCGCCGGCCAGCCCTGGACTGCAGACACGCAGGAGCCTGCCAGCAGCAGGGCCCTCCAGAAAAGCGCCATGGCCCGCCTGCAGGGCGAGAAGCCAGGCCCTTATCAACACAGGGGGCAGGCGGGGCCATGTCCTCACCCTCCCCCCCTTCCCTGCCCGCATCCCCATATAGGAGAACATGGCCCGAGCACAGCCCCTGTCTCCCCAGCAATGCCCACAGCTGGCAGTGCCCTGGAGGAGAGGCAACGCATCCAATTAACCCCAGGACCTGTGCACAGGAGTAGCTCAGAGACGCAGGGCCCCACTCAGGGCAGCAAGAAGCCACATCCCAGGCCAGCAGCTGAGCCCACTGGCTCGCCAGCCACAAAGCAAGTCCTTACACAGATGAGTCCTTGGTGAAGCTCTGGCTCTCAGAGATGACTGGTCCGACTCCCATCACAGCTTCTGCCCCTTATCACAGGAAGCTCACCACCTCACCGTGTGCCCCATTTTAGTTGTGAACAAAGGTTTTCCTCAAGTGCAATTAGGTGTTTGAAAAGTCATGACTAGAGTACACACTTGTAAAAATGCCAACCAATACCATAAAAATACATTAAGTAGAAAATAAAAATCTCTCCCATAACCCCATTCCTGAAAAGCTGCTGTTAAGAATCTGGAATAAACCCTTACAGGTGCTGAAACCCCTATAGAATCAGATATGCATATTGTTTGGTGTTCCAATTATCTTATTCACTAATATGGAGTAGATTCTAAATATCTTCCCATAATAGTACATACTAGATCTATAACATGGCTCCCTTTCCTTTTTTTCTAATGGGTTTTTTGGGGAGGGGGGGACGGGAGGCAGAAGCTGCCTGTCTCCATAACAACGTATGTCTCCCTAACACTCAGAGGGTGCTCAGACCTCTGTGCGGCCTCCGCAAGCTCGCCGCTTTCCTGTGCAGGACACATACTACACGAGTGTCTCAGCTAAGAACACACAGCAGACATTCTAGTCAATTCAGGTTCAATTGATAAGGATCTTAACTTCTTTTTTTTTCTTTATTAAAATACTGAGTTTTATTTCACATGTATATTTTGTCTCCCCACCATTCCCATTTGTCTGACCACTACTACTACTATGTCCTATCATAACATTCCATACATACTTAAAACCAAGCAAAGGGTGGAGTTCCATCTTTAAAAACTAAACAGGCATTTTGGACAACACATTCTTGGCAATGGAACCTGGACAACATTTATCAGACACGGTAGGGAAAGTTCTCACTCTGCATTATAAAAAGGACAGCCAGATATCAACTGTTACAGAAATGAAATAAGACGGAAAATTTTAACAAACTGTTTAAACTATTTTCTTAAAGAGACTTCCTCCACTGCCAGAGATCTTGAATAGCCTCCACGTCAGTCATCCGGAAGCAATTCTTCACATAATTAATGAACTTGGCTTCCACTTTGGGAAGAGAACCACCCTTTTCTATACTTGCTTGCATTTTTGCTTTAATGTCTTCTACAGAACTAGGTCCTTTCGGTGTTTTAGGAGTTTTTTCCTGTTTTTTGAAGGATTCTTGACCTTTTGATCTTGGTGTTGATGGTTTTGAGTCTTTTCCATTCTGATTTGATTTTTGTGCATTTTTGGCTGGAGTATCTCGTATGGATTTCTTTACTGGAGCTTTTTCTTCTGCTTCCTCATCATCAAAATCATCATCATCGTCATCTTCATCATCATCATCCTCATCATCTTCATCAGCAGCAAGTTTTACTTTTTTCTGTGGGACCTTGCTGCCACCTCCAGGGGCTGACCGCTTTCCAGGCATACTTAGGAGTTTCACATCCTCCTCGTCATCTTCTGACTCTGCATCTTCCTCCACAGCTACTAAGTGCTGTCCACTAATATGCACAGGCCCTGAACCACACTTCAACCGTAAGACCACAGGTGGTGTTATTTCAAAGCCACCAAGGGAAACCGTTGGCTGTACAGACATTTTCAAAGTTGCCAGTGTTACTTTAATTGGACTGCCTTCGTAATTCATTGCCTCTGCTTCAACAATGTGCAGTTCATCCTTTGCTCCAGCCCCTAGACTGACCGTTCGTAAAGATAATTGGTGCTCATTTTCATCATTGTCCACCTTAAAGTGGTAATCTTTGTCGGCCTTTAGTTCACAACCGAAAAGGTAGTTCTGGGGCCTCAGAGGGCTCATGTCCATGTCCATAGAATCTTCCATGGGGTGGTAGCGCGTACTTAGGTGAGAGAGAAGGCGGGCGGAGACAAACGGCTTCCGCACTGCAGCAGAGACTCCCAGGACGGAATCGCACCGGGGGATCTTAACTTCTTTGTTGACTGCTACATTCATAGCATCTGGCTAAGAATGGTAAGAAAATGAAGAAGAGGAAGGAAGGAAGGAAGGAAGGAAGGAAGGAAGGGAGGGAGGGAGGAAGGAAGAAAGGAAGGGAGGGAGGAAGGGAGGAAGGAAGGAATATTCACTTGGGAAAGGTGTTTGGCAAACTAGCTGAGGATTTTTTTTAAATAGATCTAGAGACATTCCAGAAAACTGGGATCTTTTTTTTTTTCCTTTTCCAATTTGGATGCTTTTTATTTCTTCTTCTTGTCTAATTGCAATGGCTAATATTTCCAGTACTATGTTTTGTCGAATGCTTTTTCTGCATCAATTGATATGACCATGTGGTTTTTTTCTTTCAATTTGTTTATGTGATGTATTACGTTTATTGATTTACGGATGTTGTACCATCCTTGCATTCCTGGGATAAATCCTACTTGGTCATGGTGTATGATCTTTCTGATGTACTGTTGGATCCGATTTGCTAAGATTTTGTTGAGTATTTTGGCATCTATGTTCATGAGGGATATTGGCCTGTAATTCTCTTTCATTGTGTTGTCTTTACCTGGTTTTGGTATTAGGGTGATGCTGGCTTCATAGAATGAGCTTGGAAGTGTTCCTTCCTCTTGAATTTTTTGTAGTAGTCTGAGGAGGGTAGGTTTTAGTTCTTCCTTGAATGTTTGGTAAAACTCCCCTGTGAAGCCGTCTGGTCCTGGGCTTTTGTTTGCTGGAAGCTTTTTGATTACTGCTTCAATTTCTTCCATAGTTATTGGCCTATTGAGATTTTTAGATTCTTCCTGATTGAGTTTTGGAATGTTGTATTTTTCTAGGAATTTGTCCATTTCCTCCAGGTTGTCTAGTTTGTTGGAGTAGAGTTGTCCATAGTATTTTTTATTATTTTTTTATTGTTTTATTGCACAGCAAGCACTGGTCCGAGGAGCAGAGCCACACACAGCCTGCACCTGTCTGACAAGCAGCAAGCTGGGTGAGTGGCCCATCCCCGTCCGAGGAGGAGCAGCCACACGTGCAGCTCACTCCCGTCCAAAGAGCAACAGCTGCGCAAGCAGCCCCCCGCCCCCGTCTGAGAAACAGAAGACCTGCAATCAACCTGTCCAAGTCCAAGGAGCAGTAGCCCCACAAGCAGCCCACCACATCAGAGGAGCAACAGCATCGTGCAGCCAGCCCCCATTCAAGGAGCAGTGATCATATGAGCAGTCTGCCCCAATTCAAAGAGTAGCAGCTGCGTGTGTAGCCCACCCCCATCCAAGGAACAGCAGCCTCGTGATCAGCACACCCTCTGTCTGAGAAACAGCAGCTGTGTGTGAAGCCTCCCCCCACCAGCCAGAAGAGCCACCACAGCTGTGAACAATAAGGCAGAGAAACAAGCTCAATCTGAACAGCAACTGGAGAAAAAAATTAAAAAACAGGAGGAGAGCCTAAGGGAGCTTCGGGACAACATGAAACGAAGTAACATACGCATAATAGGGCTGCAAGAGGGACAAGAAGAGCAGCAAGGATTAGAAAATCTATTTGAAGAAATAATGACAGAAAACTTCCCAGATATGGGGAAGAAAAAAGTTACACAAGTACAGAGAGTCCCAGGCAAGATGAACCCCAAAAGACCCACACCAAGACACGTCATAATAACGATGGCAAATGTACAAGACAAAGAGAGAATCTTAAAGGCTGCAAGAGAGAAACAGAGAGTTACCTACAAAGGATCCCCCATCAGATTATCAAACGATTTCTCAACAGAAACACATCAGGCCAGGAAAGAATGGACAGAAATTTACAAAGTGATGCAAAGCAAAGGACTGAATCCAAGAATACTCTATCCAGCAAGGCTATCATTCAAAATTGAAGGGGAAATAAGAAGCTTCACAGACAAAAAAAGGCTAAGGGAGTTCATCACCACCAAGCCAGCAATGCAAGAAATGCTAAAGGGACTGGTGTAAAAAGAAGAAATAAAAAGCCCAGAAAGAAAACAGCCACACAAAAAAAGAAATGGCTACAAACAAGTACCTTTCAATAATAACTTTAAACGTAAATGGACTAAATGGTCCAATCAAAAGACATCGAGTGGCTGAATGGATAAAAAAACATGACCCATACATTTGCTGTCTACAAGAGACCCACCTCATTAAAAGGGACTCACACAGACTGAAAGTGAAGGGATGGAAAAATATCTTTCAGGCAAATGGAAATGAAAAAAAAGCTGGGGTAGCAATACTTATATCCGACAAAATAGACCTCAAAGTGAAGGCCATAACAAGAGATAAGGAAGGCCACTTCATAATACTAAAGGGATCAATACAACAAGAGGATATAACCCTGATAAACATATATGCACCCAATGCAGGAGCACCCACATACATAAGAAAACTCCTGGAAGACATCAGGGGAGAGATCGACAACAATACAATCATAGTAGGGGACTTTAATACACCACTGACATCACTGGATAAATCTGCTAGACAAAAAATCAGCAAAGAAACAGCAATCCTAAATGACTCACTAGATCAGATGGACTTAATTGACATCTTCAGAACACTTCACCCCAAAGCAACAAAATATACGTTCTTCTCAAGTGCTCATGGGACATCTTCAAAAATAGACCACATATTGGGTCACAAACAAAGTCTCCCCAAATTCAAGAAGATTGAAATCATACCAAGCATCTTCTCAGACCACAAGGGCATAATATTAGAAATAAACTACAATAAAAACAACCCAAA